CAAGTACATAAGTGACAATATAGTCAAAGACGAGAAAACTGCACAAGAAATTTGCCTTATTTACACGTATCGGCAATGCAAGCTGCCATGCGACTTCCCCTTCTGATGTCACAAGGGGAATTTATGTATACAAATGAGAAGCTAATGAGGAGCCTCGTTTTAAAATACACAAAAATAAAGAGTTTAAAACACATTTTTTCACTTAAAAAAAAATAATTCATGCTTAGAAACATAAAAATTAACAATATTTATGTACCAATTGATAATTTTAGGCGTGAAAATAGCAGGCATTTCACAGGCACTTTAATGCTCAAAAGATATTCTGAGCATTAAGGTGTTGTAGATTTTCATTCAAAAACAATGCATGTAAAATACATTGTTTGTTTGCTCGCTGCTTGTTTGCTCGCTGCACGATGATTGTAGCGCTTTCATACTTTCTCGCCCAAATTTTTCTGCACTTTTTTTCTTACATTTGATGTAATGAACTTTAATTTTGGAGCCAACAGACAAAATTTGAGTAAATTTTCAGTTTTTATTCAAAATGTTTTGTCCCAATCTTTTGAAGGAAAGTGCAGACTATAAACAGAACTACGGTATTTGTGATGAAAAGAGGGGACTGGTGGTGAAAAGGTTAAGCAAACATTGTATACAATACATGATACTAGTACCGAACTTGTGTACTATGAGACGCCTGACAAAATTGATAATTAACGTGTGACGTTCTTGAAGAAAAAGTTATTTAGTGGAAACACTTGCAACTGTCTATCATCACAATTGACACAACAAAACTGGAGTCTAGTTGAAAATCTGTTTATTTTACAGGCTCAGCAAAATGAAGCTCCTAACCCAATAGGGGATCAATTATTCGAAATGGAACCATTTTCTCCGACTGGAGCTGGTACACATAATGGGTTCCCAGCAACACAAAGTAAATCCAATGTTATGCTGCCACTGTCAAGTCCTCCAGGTCCTATTGCTCCAGGTATGCTACTGAAAAATGTGTTTTCTCACGTAAACCACTGTACAGTGATGTCACAGACATGTAGTCATCATTATTCTATGATTTGTTTGGTCATGTGATCATTGACCTCATGAAGGTAAAACATCCAGATACTTTCTTACATCCTGGTACTTTCTCACATCCTGGTACTTGCAGACAGCTTGCATTCTTCAGTTTGTTCCCTTTATCATTTTGCATTAAATTTAGATAAATTGGTGAAATTTTACTTTTTGGCAGTATTTGGATTTCTTCAAAATTCTCAAAGTTTGTTACAAATCAGTTTTCATATTTCCTCTGGTATTCTAAGTTAACTTGTGGTGTTTTCGCTGGAACTATAAATAAAGGTAGTGGACTTTTAAAACAAAACTCATAGCAGGAACTTATAATTTTCACCATATTACATATTACCGTATTATTACTGAATCGGAAAGATGTATAATAATAAGGCTATTACTGGAAATTACTTCAAAGTATGCATTCAGACAAAACATGGTTCCATTAAACTATTAATTAAACACCTGGCATACATGTGATAATCGAATAAATGCAATTAATCTCCTGTTAGATATTCACTATATGGGCAGCCTTTTGAGAAACAGGGAAAAATACCAAAAATTCACAACCAAACTTTGGGATAATATTTAGCCAACCGTGAATACAATTGGATCATATTCTTTGTTTTTGTGTTGAGGACTCTGTATGCAAGAGATTTTCATTACATGAATAACCTAAAACACTTTCCTTTCCAAAATTTCCATTCAACTGTAAGACTGTTTCTGATTGGTTCCTTACATTGAACAACAGTTTCAATTGGCTGATACTCTTGTCCTACTTTGCAGTATCTTCACAATAATTATATCTTACTGAATTTTAAATTCTTCATATCCTGTTTCTCTTTTGTCTCTGGTATCCTCGGGGGCGGACATCCGAGCATTTTCTACCGCCTGGTGAAAACAAAGACCAAAAACTCGCAGAAAATGGTACTTTGCGATGGTTGTTGAGAGTCCCCTGAACAGTGTAACAAGATTAGCCCTACGTGTGTAACATATATGAATTTGGTTGTTCAGGATTACTTCAAAGTTGAGTTTGTGTTGTTTTCTCGAGTTTTCACCGGCTCCACCGGCATTCCACAGCAGCACGCACAAAGCCCATAGAAATACGTGGTACAGTGGTGCGCGTCTTAGCAACGTAGAACGTCCGTGACGTAGCTCCGCCCCCGTGGATAAGTTTCTTTCTTGTTAAATATCTTGTATATTTTCACAGCTGTTCCCCCACCACCTCAAGTGCCTGTCAGAACAAGAAGAAAAACTTCACCTACTTCAGGTCTTGATAACATACTATATTTCCTGTGCTAATTTGTCTAATACTCACTATACCAGTAGCTTGTAGATCAGCACTCCTTGCAAATCTTATCTTTACTGCCCTCTGGTGTTGGGAAATACATATTTTGTTTTTTGGCAATTCATGGATTATAAATGTTACTTTTTTATTTTGATTCAGCGCTTTTTTTTTATCAGTAAATTAATCGAGCTTATATTAAGTTGGTTTGATGAGTTGATGGTAATATCTACAACTTCTAACATGAATAATTCTCTTGTCAGGAATTTTCAATAATCTACGCATAACTGATATTATGTCCAAAATTTGACATACAATTGAAATCTTTTGAACTCTCACATATGTGAGATTATCTTGTGTGTTTTCAATGAGTTCTTGTCAATGTACAAAAAGTTGCATCAGAATTCAATCAACTTTATGTTAGTGTCATTAACTAATAAATTGTTTCTCTATGTAACTAAGTAAAGCTTAGGCAAGGAAATTTACCTACTGTTAAAAACTATTCTTATTTGTGATTAAAATCTATGATTTAAGTTGATTAACAAAATAATAATAATTAAAATAAAATGTCTACTCTGACACAGTAGACTTTTACTGATTGTTTATCTATCTTTTTCGATATTAAAGAACCAACAATATTTTTTACTCTAAATATGAGGGTGTATCTGTACTTTTCAAGCTGAATAGCACCACCAACGGCCACTTTTGGAGAGGTGACTTTTTTTTGTTACCTGGTGAGGGCAGTACTCCAATGTTAACTCGTGTTTCTTGTCACACTTTTCATCATCTGCTTTTTCCTATTGAATGTTTATCATAAAAAATGATTGATTTTTGTTGTTGATTATTACCTTATTTGGAATGGTATTTATGTGTTTTTCTATTAGAGCAAATATAGTATTGTTAATTACAGAAAATAGTAAAAAATGTTTAACCCCTTCACCTCCACTTCCAACTTGTGTCCTCTCACATAAAATACCTCCTCCCCCAGTATAGGCTTATTTCCATAAAGGCTGTTGTTCAAAATACTAATTATTGTTCAAAATCAAGTAATTTACTGTATATTTAGTTTTAAAAAAATTACTTTTACAGAAACCGTATTTAATGCATGAGAATGCTATGGTGTGATTTAAGGATTGTTTACAAATTAAATGAGCTGATTTTGTATTTAATGGTTTGAACCCTCCAAAAACACTATTAAAATGTTTCAAATTTATTGAATTGTTGCTCTATTTGTTTTCAGCCTTAGCCCCTCCACCACCAGTACCAGCAAGACCAAGACAACAAGGAGCTACACAGAAACCTTCTGCTTCTGGTATGTGATGTGACACAATTTAAAAAAAAAAAAAAACACTTTATTTTAGCTGGAATTCATTTCTTGCTGAAAAGTTTTTTTTGGTTGTTTTGTATGGAATTTATTTTCACTGATTTTTGATGAGTTGAATGTAAAATATAAAAAAAAGGGTATTAGCTGGATAATGAATTCCAAGCAAATATTTGACAGTACGATTTGGAGTGAAGTGTTTTAAAACACATGACACTAGTAACCACAACCTGGAAACTTAAGGTGCCCTAATCAATACAACCTGGTCACTTAGGGGGGCCCTAGTCAGCACAACCTGGCAACCACTAATTTCTGACAATGTTAACCTTTGAGTATATTTTTACCAAAAAAAAGTTGTTTCAAAGTTGAAAATATTCTAATTTGCTTATGTTACAGCGGTAGATCCATTTGGTAGTGCTCCATTCAGTGCTTCCAACCCTAACCCCTCAACACCAACTACAGACTATGATAGAGCAATCAGTAACATTGATGAACAGATGAAAGAACTGCAGGTAAATGATAATAGCCAAAGGCAGTAATGACATATTGTAAATCACATTTCACAAGAGACAAATTTTCATGAGTTTCGGAAGTCAGTGAAAACAGAGGTACATTACTTGGGGTTTTTAACTCGCATAGTACTGTATGGTGACATCATGTCAAGATCCCATTCAAGTCTCTTCTCGTAGATAGCAAGACTGAGGCTACGATCTTCTGACATGACGCATATCAATGTTCAAGGTTTGTAATGAAAAAAATAAACTTTTCTTGTCACCATCATAGTGAAAGATGTAATACATCGAAAATGTACAGAAAATATAGTTCTCGTAATCCGTCATATCGTGGGCAGCTATTTTGATCCACCTGGACATCCCAGTATCCTAGTTACCTCGGGCATGCGCATTCGCAATTTTTCTGAGTTGGAACGCTTATGCGAGAGTGAGATTGTGACGGGATCTTGGTATCATGTCACCGTAGTTACAAACCCCAAGTAATGTACCTCTGGTGAAAATAATAAATTTTTTTTAGCAGTGAACGTTTCTTTGGAGTCCGATGACTTAGAGTGACTTAAGTGAAATTTAGTCTTCATAGCTACCATAAAATCTTGAAAACTTCAGGTCTTGATAACATACTTTATTTCCTGTGCTAGTTTGTCCAATATTCACTATATCAGTAGATTGTAGATCAGCACTCTTTGCAAATCTTATCTTTACTGCTCTCTGGTGTTGAGATTTTTTTTAGCAGTGAACGTTTTTTTTTGTCTTCACAACTGCCATAAAATCTTTAAATCTCAAACATTTCTAGCAGTGAAAATTAAACAGTTTACAGTTTTTATGACCAGTGTGTAAAGTGAATATGACTGATTTTGTAGGGATCGCGAGTCAAAATAGAATCACAAAAATCATGTTGGCTCCAACTTGGTATGTGCTGGAGAGAGAGGTATTTTGAAAAAAATAAATATAGCATGTTGATGTAAAGAGATTCTGAAGACAAATTAAACTGTGGTTTCCTGATTCCTAAATGTTTTCACACTTATTTTGTTCATAATATGTAAATTTCTCATTACCAAATTAAATAATTATAGTAAAATGTTTATAAAGTTCATTATATCAATGTATGATTTTACAATACAATTATAAAATTATTCAAAATATACATTACAAAAAATATGTCTTTAGTTTAGCAAATTTCTCTACTTGAGTGTTAATTGTAAATCAGTTTTTGTCATGTTTTTAAGCTTGTTCAATCAATCAATATATATTAACATGTATTTGCAATTTCTACGTGTAATTTATGTTTCTGTGACCTTAGATATAATTGCTTCTTCCTCTTAAGTGTGATAAACTTTAAAGTGTCTTACTTGGCTAGGGAGTTTACTGTATCACAAAACCTGAGCTAGGGAGTTTTTTCGTGATAATTTTTATTTTATTTTATAAATATCTAAATATCTTTTTTTTTTTTACAGGAAGGATTTGGTAGCGGTCTAACAATGGGAAACCATGACTTTTCACTCGAAGACTTGGATCCATTGAACCAGAAATAGCTCATCCATCATTAGCATTTAGCTTCCCTAACTTCCTCATTATTATCATCCCTAAGTCGAGGTGATGTCAAACATTTTCACTTTTATTTTTCACACTCTGGCTGGGGATTTGATGATGATGGGATCTCTTTTGTTGTGACACAAGAATGTATAATTGTGACTGATAATGGGGAGCAAACCATGGTGATTTGGAAACAATGTATCCATTGATGATAGTTAGGTTTTTGTGATGAGTCGGGTACTTTCATTTTTTGATCACAAAGTTAGACATATTAGCTATATCATCGAGAATACGCAGATGTCATGTTTTTTTATTGATATATTGGGATATGTTTTGAAACAAGGTGTGCTCAATCACTTTTAAAAGTACCGGTACTGCAATTTGATAGCTGTAGTAGTCATATGACTGAAAATCAGCGGTTCTGTTGCAAGTGGAATTTTCTTCATTTTCCATTGATTTTTGATGTTGAACTGTTAAACTAATGTACAACGTCCAAACCAGCTTTATCAATAAAATGAGAATTGAATTTTTGGTAATAGTCATGAATATATATATGAACAACAATATATCTTTTACTTTTCTAATTCAATCACCATTGAATGTTACCTGGAACAGTTGTTTTATTCATATTTTTATTTTTTCATTGTAGTCATATTTTAGGATTGGGTCATTTAAGCTCAGGACATATTATCATTGCATAATTTGCATAAGTTGGCAGTCCAATACGAAAAAAATTTAAAATGGATGTCAGAGTAAAAACATGAAACACATTGCTACGACAAAATCCCATTTTTTTTCTCATGTAAGCAAGATTAGGTAGCAGGTAATTTAATAAACATTTTTTCATCAAAATTTTGAAAAAAGAATAGTGCCTTCAAATTTTTTGCATTTTTGGTGGAGAACAAGGATAGTAACATACCACCCTAAACTTGACATTGATCTTGATTGCTGTAGATGTGTGATAGTGTGCAAAATTTTCTAAATTTGACAAAAAAGTTTTTGACAAGTGAAAATTACAAACATCGATATATAGTGAAATGGTGTTACTTGATTCGGTGATAAATTCTTTATTCTTATTGAAAAATGTATAACTGACCCTTATTTAGCACCACTGCACCAACTGATGCTGAAACTCATATTGACTACCTAACATTTCGCAAATTGACGCAATCAACTGTCAATGAAATTCAAGGGAGCTCCTCAAGTGATATTTTGTTAACTCAGCTAGTGGGTTCACTGTGATTAGCTTACCTGACTAAGGAGTCTCAATAACATACTTTCATTTGGCTAAGTAGTTCAATAAATTAACAGTTTTTTCTAAACAACCTAGATATACAAAAAATATAAATTGTTGTGTCACACACATCTTCCTGCTATGGATTCTGTGCTTTCTATCTATCTAGGAAGACTACTATATTTTTTTCTGGTTAGAGGAATCTTTATTTTTTGGAATATATATTCAGAAATTTACATTTAAAAGTCACAATATATGTATTTTGATATTTTTTACTTCTTCAATATATTTTTTAAAATGTTTTTGTTGAAATGTTATCTTGATTCTATCTCCATCTATTCAGCTAGAATTTTGGTTTAGTCTATTGTGTTTTATAATGAATGGATATTTTCATTTAGGAATTTTTTTTGAGAGGATACAAAATGAGGTTGAATGTACGTTTTAAGTAACATATTTTTTAATTATGTCAAGGTATAGTTTTAATTCAATTTGTTTTTTTACTTTCAAAACTTTTTAAAAATAGGTTTCAAACTTTAGAATCATTATACTTCATTGTTTTAATATTAGTAAACTTGGCTGTGTTTTAGGATGGATGTGGCCAATCAGTGAAAAATTTGGAGATTTTAAAAGCACTACACAATTTTGATATTTGGCCGAGTTGAATATGTTTCCATGGAAAAAATGACTTAGAGATTTCCCTATAGTGATAAACCCTAATTTGATGACCATTTTGGATTTGAAAGTAGGCCAAATGCATAATTCCAAAAATATTCAGGTACCCATGGTTTTTTGTTCGGAATTTAAAACTGCCGAATAATTCAGCAAAGTTTTGAGAAATTTCTGTCCCAAGAGTCTGCTATCCACAACCATTCATAGTGGAGGACTGGAACACTGACAATATACCCACAGTCTGTTATTATTGTTACACCATTGAGACAGCAGCCATTAAAACTATTCTACAAGCAGTGTAAAGAGTATATGCCGATAACTCAAATGTCCAATCTTTATCAATTCTACATTCACCTCTGAACAATTGTACTTTATACAAAACCACCAACACTGTGTTTTCACTAAATTTAGAACACCCTGTATATTAAAGATTAAGGTGAATGTCGTGAGAACTGCATGCATGTACCGGTACATACATACATACGTAGGGCTCACACAACAATGAATGTTTACATATTGGTGATGACCAGTTTTTTAAGATCTGCTAAAGGGCAGTTACGCATTTACATCTGAGCTAGTAAATTCAAACATTTGTCAAATCTAATGTGTATGCTTGGTCATAGTTGAGGGTTTTATGGGATGATAAAGTATTAGTGAGTGATATGTATGTTCATAGCTTTTGAATATACTAGTATATTGAATAATGGTCATGATGTAGATAGATTCCAACCAGACAATAATAGTTCATTAGAGTCTGTATATGGTATATGCACTTCTAATGACAGTGTAGATTTAAAAAGAAAATTTATGGGGGATATGTTGTCACTAAAAATTGAATAAATGTTTTTTGTTTTGTTTTTCATCGCTATTACTTACCGGTACTTGTATTAGTTTTGACTGAAATTACATTTATCATAATTTTGAGATTTTTTTTCTTCAAAGCCACACTTTCATCAAAAAACTTGAAGCAGGCTAATAGATGCAGCTTTGCAGTGTTTTTTTGCAAATCAAATACATTGAATCTGTTTTAAATAAAGGTTTTTGGTAAAAATTACTATTTTGAAAATTGAATCTACCAACTTTTTAATAAAAAAAAATGAATACTGATTTTATTCTTGATTCTCAAAAAGAGTAAATATTAAGATTTTGAATTCAGAATAAATTAAACGCTAATTATAGCTGTAAGGATGGTTTTACTTTAAGTATTTTACAAATAAAAAAAAATAAACAAACCGAATAATACTGGTATGTTGAATAAAAGCCCAGTGCAGATGATTTTGAGAATCGAATGAAATCTGGCTTGTTTAACTTAAAAAATTATATACGTCGTTATAGTGTTAATGGATTGAGGTTTGATATCCGTGATATGAGTAAAATATTTCTCTGTTTACTTTGAGGGCGCACGAGTCCCAATTAAAACTGCAGTCCATTTGTTGTTGGAGGCTGGAACTACATTGCATTGTGGGTATATTTTAAAATGACAAAATGGTAGTTGTGTTGATGTTATAACCACCCCCAATATTTGCAGATAAAACATGCACATAACATCATGAAAATTCTTAATTTATAAATTTCAGAATAAAAACAAAGCTGTCTATGTGCGTTTATTTTAAAGAATCATTTGACAAGAAGCATTTTGGGGGGTTTTCACTCACTGTATGTAGACCGTTAAATTATGTACTGTGCTATGGTTTCTGGGCAGCTCACATGTCAGTTTGAAAGGTGTGTCACTGCATTTTTTTCTTTTCTTTTTTTTTATCTAAATATTTAAAAAAAAAATTAAAAAAACAGCCTCAACATTTCCTTTTTGAACATCTTGGGATAGTCTACAGATTTTTGATCAGCATTTTTTTTTTATTTTGATGAGTGTTTTTTTTTTTTTATTTAGAAATAAGTCTGAAATAAAGATAGTGCTGTCGACTTGTTGCTTGGCAGTTTCATGAATAATGTTTGAGATAATTCCACAAATGTATCTACACCTCTCTGTTTAAAGAGCCCTGGGAAATTATCCTGACACAATTTCCCCAGACTTAGCGTAAATCTAAATCTGTTATCCCTAGGAGATTAAAGGGCGAATTGTGTCCATGAACCAATCATAATTCTGGAATTTAAACAACTGTGTTGAGGTATTTTTAAAATGTGACATGGCCTCATAACAGTATGGTGATATGTCACTGTTTCATCATTATATTGCCATATTCAGGTCACCTTCCACAAAAAAAATAGTCCACTTTAATATCATCTGATCTTATTTCCGCAAAAAACCTATGAACAAGTTATATTTCATATTTTTGGTTCAAATTATATGGAAATAAATATTTTGGCTATAGAAAATTCGGCACTAAAAAAGTTTTCTCAAAATGAATCTTGTTTGAACAGATATTTTTATTGGAGATATGTATTCTATAGAAGCTAAATAATTGGTTTATTTTTTTTTTATTTTTTTTTACTTCTGTCAGAATGACTCGTTATGTACATGTATGTTCTGAACATTTTGTGCACTTTTGTAGTTGGATGGGTAGATGTTGTTTTGTTTATAATTCAAGCAAAACACTTATGTACATGTATGTTCAGGGTTTTATCTTTTTATGAATAAAAGTATTTACACTATCGAAATGCGAGTTTGTTTTATTCTGATTTGCTGGTATACCATATTTGCTCTATTAGTAGTACTTGTATAAACTACAGTAGAATTTTCATGGTCAAAATAAGTAATATTTTATTGATTCAGTATGCACTGAATGTATTTCTATATTGGGTATGCACTTCTCATAGAGCAAAGGGTGTAGTAGTACATGGGCACTATTTCACAGTCATTGTCAATTTATTTGACTTGTTTCTATGAAAGTATTTGGTCAAAACCTGTGAAGAACATCAAGTTGTGTATGTTTGATGCAAATTTGTGACAAATCATGTTACTGTAAATAGCTTAATTTTTGCTGCCCTTTGATAATTTTATTGTTGAAGAAAAAATTGTGAATGTCGCGAATGCTGTGTTGTATGACCCCCAGACAAATTTTAACTGCTACAAAAGTTCATGATCTTCATCAACTCACAATATTTGCTAGAATTTATGTAATGTTCCACAAAAAAAGT